GAGGGGGAGAAGTGGACCCCAGTCCAGCCTGGCCCGGCCCCACCCAGAGAGAGCGCAGCTGCAGAGGAGAGAGGAGGACTTGCGCGGAGAGCTCTGGAGGCGTCGCCCCGCCGCAGCGGAATCTGGCCTGTGCAGGTCCCGGGGATCTGGAGAGGGCAGGAGTCCTTGGCGCCCGCCCCGCAGCAGCCGCGCCCATGGGCCGCGCAGATTGGGTCCCGAACGCCCGGGACTGCGCTGCTGAAGGCCGGCGCTCCGCGAGTGTGGCCCGGCTGCACGTGCAGGGCTAAGTCGGCCGAGGGGGCGCAGGGCTGGGCCGGCGGGGAGCCGAGGCCCCGCGGGTGCGGGGCCGCGCGGCCGCCTTCTGGCAGCCCGGCGCGCGAGGAGGGAGCCAAGACGCAGGGACGCGCAGGCCTCGGGGCGCAGGGCCCGGCCCGGGGGACGCGAGCCAAGGTCTTGGGCTGATTGTAATTGGGTAAGTGTTCATCGGCGAGAGGAGGTGTAATGAATTCTTTCTCGTGTCTTCTTTTTGTACGAAGTGCCGAGATTTTTTTTTTCCTGCCTGCAAAACCGGAGCCTACCCTGGTCTGTATTTTCCTGCATCCATTCGTGAAAGCTTGACGCTCTGACATCATCAGGCCTTCCCAAGTGAAGTTGCTCACTTGGTCTGAGAAGCCTTCGTAGGGTCTGATGGGACTTCTCCATCAGGTCCCCAGAGCCCTGAACTTGTCTTAGGACGTATGAGAGTGCGTGTTGCAGGAGCAGCTTCGTGATAATAACCCTTGAGTGACCTCCTCTGTGTTTGCCAGAAATAGACCAGAAAACCAGCCTGCGGTTTAACCCAGCAACAGTGCTTATTTCGGATAATCCTTTCAAATGGAAGCGCGACTTTCCGAAAACTGAGATTGATCCTGCGGGTCTACTGTGAGGAGTTGTGCTCTCTCACAGGTCCAAGGATAACATTAGAGAAGCATGCGGAGGCAAGCAGGGTTTATTTAAAAAGGGGTGGCATAGACTTCTCCCGGCAGGGAGAAGGGGGCTATGGCTGGTATCCTGGTATCCCAAGAAGCGGCGGTGTTCTTTTTACAAGCCTTAGGCTTCCTTTGTTCTCCTGCCCCCTTTCGCTAATCTCTCTCCTTCCTGCATACTTCTGTGACTAGGCCCAGGGGATGCTCAGTGGGTTGGCCAAAAGGAGAAAAGCAGACATGCTGGAGGGGCCAAGTTGGAAAGATCTGGACGGGAAGGGGGCTTAATTAACAACTCCCTGTAGGGAGGGACAATCCCTGGGACAGGTTACCTTAGCAACTGGTTGGAGCCAGGGCAGGTTATTGTCATAAGGGTGGAGGAAAGGCTCTGGAGGCATTAGCATCTCCAACTTCGAGGACTCATTCAAATTGGCTTCCTTGATCTGACCTGACTCGATTTACTTATCTATACTGACTGCCTATCTAATTCTGGCTTCAAGATCACTGCCTAACATTTTAATTTCTACAGGACAATGTGGCATAGGTTTGTGGGTTATCAAGAAGCAAACTAAAAAGTAAAAATAGATGATTAATCATTTACCTGATAGCTGGAATGGAGTGACTCCTGGAGATTGGTTCTCAGTTTTCACTTTGCAATACAGTTCAGTGACTGCACTTCAGTCCACACTGAGGGAACTTAGGTCTTGCACCCAAAATAAACGCACTGACAAGCAATAGTTAATTATCTTTAAAATGTAAGCAATAGAGAAAGGAACTAGCATAAAATTGTCACATTTCTATGCACAATGTAATATTACTTTGTTAGATATTCCACATTTAAGTTTTTAAAATATTTACCAGTTAGAATGCATTCTGTAAGTTTGTGCACTTTCTAAGACTGTATAGAATGTAGACGTTGATCGTTTGCAAGGGATTAAAAAGTGTTGAATGTTATGCATGTAGTAGCAGTTCAGTGCTTGATTAGCACATAGAGAAACCTAATGGCCAAAACAGAACACAAAAGAGGCAAGACATATTATGAGTTCTGTTTTGAATTCACAATGTTAGTAATTTGTGGTTCCTGGAGAGATATATGCATGTCAGTATCCTGCATCCTTGTCCCAACTGCTTTCCTGTCTTCTTGGTGACCTTTGGCAGTCCTTGACCCGTGGGCTCAAATAAATTCCTCAAATAACATCCAGTTTCTTCCCCAATTTGTGGTCAAAATTTGTAGGTTATTACCCTCAACCCTGGAGTTCAAGAATTTGCACAGAAAGACATGAGGAGGTGAAGAGGAAGAAAAGGTTGCAGAAATGGAGTGGAATTAGTGTTTTAAAGTATCCATTTGATAGAAACCCCTGTGCTCACTGCAGAGCTTCTCTGCTTGCTCCACACCTCAGACCCTCAGCTACTTTCATGTGAGCAGGACTGATGGTTTTAAAAGGATTTGCTGTCACATGCAGAGAGACATTAACATGTCCATTTTGAAATCAATTTTCTTCTTAGTTTGAAAAGACTCCACCCACCCACCCCCCCCCCCCACACACACACACACAAACAACAAATGAATTTTATAGAGGAAGAAATTATTCTTCATCGAAAACAAAACAAACTGGGCATGCTTCCAGTAAGTGCATTTTTGCTTCCAGGTTGCACAAAAGGCAGATGTGCTATGAGCAAGAAGAATAGTGGTAAAGAAGACTAATGGAGCAGAGGCTTCATTTAGTCATGAAAGTCATTTGGGAGAGGTGGATAGAAGCTATTCAGAGAAGAGCTTTGACTTTCTATCCTCTCTAGAAAACTTTAAAATTCTCTAGAAATGTCCTGAATTTGGAGAATTTTTTAAAATGTCTGGTCCCAACATGATCTTTGTGGTAAGTATGAACATTCAGAGTAATTATAGAGTAAAAGGTTTTCTGTGTTTGAGTGACTCATTGAATCTTTGCTTATTGATTCTTTCAATAAACGTAGAAAGTATTTCTTGTGTGACAAGCATTATTTAAGATGCTACAGACAAAAAGATTAATAATGTGTCAAGTTCAAAATTTTAAAATGCCCAAAGAGATCTATTTAATACAGAATGCTAAGGAAGGTACAAGGAAACAACAAGAACTATTATAGGTGCATAATAGTGTAGCAAAGAATATGGTATCAATAGTGGTAAGTGTTATCCACAGTTTCAGACAACCACAAGGAGTCTTGGCCCTTTATCCTAGAATGAGGGAAGAACTTCTGTATTATTTTATAGATGTGGATAGTGTCCAGGAGAAGGCAAGTGTCTTGCTTAAAGTATCAGGAGAGAACAAATTCTAATCCATTGTTATAAAGATATCATGAAGGAACAATATTTTAGTTAATTAATCACACTGGATTTTAAAATTGTTTCTCAGTAACATATTAGCTCATATATGAATGCATACTTCTTAAGTTCAAAACACATCTATTTGATGTATGTTGGTTAGTTGATTTTTGGTCAGCTATTTTGTAGGATTTTTTATGTTTAACTAAAAAAGTTATTGAGTCACAATGTAAATGATAAGTAACTGATGCTTTAAAAACAACTGAACAGAGCTAAAGGAAAAGCAGTTTATTAAAGCATGAAAGTTATATATTTTTTTTGGTACTGGGCATTGAACTCAGGGGCACTTGAAAACTCAGCCACATCCTCAGCCCTATTTTGCATTTTATTTAGAGACAGGGTCTTACTGAGTTGCTTAGCACCTCCCTGAGTTGCTGGCTTTGAACTCCTGAGCCACTGGGATTACAGGCATGTGCCACCTTTCTTCATACTGTATTTACAATATGTAAGTAGTAGGGAGAAAGGAAAAAAATCATATAATTCTGTTCTTTTGTATAAAACACATTTATGAAAGGCAGGGTTCTTGCTAATCTCTATAGTTTTAGTATATTTTTACAATTCCCTTTTGTGTAGATTATGATAGATACATAAGTAAGTGTAATATTTATTCCAAGTATATTAAAATAAAAATGTTGAAAATTAGTACCATTTTATTTATTTATTTATTTGTTTGTTTGTTTATTTTATGGTGCCAGAGATCAAACCTAGAGCCTTGTGCATGTTAGACCCCTGAATTACCTCCAGCCCCCAAATTAGGTACCATTTAAATTGAAAACAAAAACAAACTTTTAAAAAAAGGAAATGCACATTGAGTGGTGTTTTTGTTGGAAATGTTGAAAGTGGAAGTTATTATCACATCTTAAGTTAATTTGTTATCACATCTTAAGTTAATGTACGTTTTATTCGTATGAGGATATGATATCTACTTTAAGAATAAAAGTAGTTTACTATTAAACATCAGGATATTTTGACTAGAGGTAAGTAAATGTTTTAAGAGGTTCATTGAAAGGGCATTTTAATGATTAACACAAATTGTGCTACAGTTAGGTTTAACAGCTTATTTGAAATTTAGATTTTCTTTTGTTACAGTTCTCCATTAAATTTTAATATTTTCAAACTCTGTAAAACTCAGAATATACACCAAGAAACAATGCTAAAGTAAAATAGGTTAGATGTTTGTGTGGCTCCTAGTGATTCAAAAGAATCTGATCTATTTCAGAATATATGGGATTCATGGTATTTACTGGAGTCCCAGTTGGGGTTTTCAAGAATAAGGGAACTTGGTCAAGTTCCCTTAAAGTTCCTGAAATCCAGCCCATGCTTTACCACTTGCCAAGTCTTACACCTTGGAGTAAAGCCATGTCTAAAATATTGACCTGTTTGGGGTAACTTACTTCTCTGGCTACGTCTCCAAAAGTTGTTATTATTATTTCACTTCACATAAAGATGCATGCAGATTATTGGCCACCTTGATTCTAAGAAACATTAAAAATACAAGGTCTGAGGCTTTAGTTTCTTAAGGGGGTGTGTGACATGTACACACACACCTGTGTTTGGGGGACACAGAAGGAGAAGAGGAGCAACCTTATACAAAAGGAATTTTACAAGTTTTAACAAACATTATTTAATGAATATATTATGACATTAGTGGGGCTTTTCATGTTTCTTTTGTTTTTCAGAAGAGGACTTTCAGAAGGTTCTAGAAAGCACAGTGTTGCTGTGAAAAGCAAAGATCCTTTACCAACACATTTTACAAGAAATGTTCAGAAAGCCATTGATAAATATACCTGGTAAGAATTCACCTGTTAAATGCTGCTGATTACAAAAATCAAAAAAAATCCAATAATAAATCAGTGATTGGCCATCATGAACCTTTTAAATTAAAATGCAGTTTTATTTTTAACCTAATGCAAAAATATTTTTAAATTAGTGCACTCTGTGTAAATGTTATGTCTGTTGCTTATGTTCATTCCAGTAGTGAATCCCCGTCATCGTTTTCATCTAGTGGAAGCTGCACACCCACGAGAGCCCACGATTCATGGTCAAGGTCTTCAACACAGAGTTCTACCACAGGCTTGTCTACAGAGAGGAGCTCAGTTTATTCCTGGAGAGATGATGTATGTCTTGGAATTTTTTTGATAATACCATGATTATAAATTATATGAAGAATTGCTTTCTTAGGTTCAAAAAAAATCTTTTTACCATTTACAAAAGCACTACCAATTATATCCATCTATATGCATACATTTGTGTATATAAAAGTATTTACAGATTACTGTGTAAAAATTTTGAAGTACCAAAATATAGGAAAAAAAATTGCTCGTAATTTTATAGCCCAGAGTCTTAGCTGTTGATAATTTTATTCTTTCCATCCTCTCACCCTCTTCCCATTATGTTATGTATGACTCCTTGTATAGTATCTATGGCAATTAGGAACTCAAATAAGAGAAGAATTTTGGAAAAATAAAAATTGTGAAGCATCTCCATTATTAGGGGATTTCTCCACAATATTCTAAACCAGATGTTTTACTTTTATCTTCTAACCCTAAAGAGAGTCATTCATTTAACCCTTCTTGGTTCTTTGTGAGAGTGGGACTCTTAGCTAGGTGAGCTTTAGTTACAGCTAAAGCTTTGCTAAGGACTTTGCAGGCTCCACAGTCTCCTTCCTCCTTATCCCTGCATCGTCCCGAGTCACAGCTCTGTAACACCCATGTGATTAAGGCAGAGCCTCTGTATGGCACCTGGGTGTTCTATCTCCTTGTTTGCTGTGTGTGTGTGTGTGTGTGTGGTTTATGTGTTGTTGTTTTTTTGTTTGTTTTTGTTTTTTTACTTTCTTTAAGAACGCTTCTCCACTCCTCATGGTGCATCTGAATCTAGTTACTGATGTAGTTAGATAGCAGTGAGTCTCAAAGAGGTGGGCAGTCACAGGGCATGGGAAGGATCTGGAAGGCAGTCAGCTCATCACTCAGAGGACTTTTTCATATGTGACTCCCTCACTTAAGATTACCTCTTCAGCATCTGCCTGCCCATGCACTGCAAACCCTCTCACACCCTTTTTCCTTGTGGGCATATCCCTGAAAAGACTGAGAGCCATTAATTCATCATGTCCCGATTCTGGAATCCATTTATTTATCTATCTATCTATCTATCTATCTATCATCTATTTATTTATGAATGACAGTGGAATGCATTACGATACTTATTACACATATAGAGCACAATTTTTCATATCTCTGGTTGTATACACAGTATATTCACACCAATTCGTGTCTTCATACTTGTACTTCGGATAGATCATCATATTCCACCATCATTAATTATCCCATGCCCCCTCCTTTCTCATTCCCCCCCCCCATCTATTCCTCCCATGCTCCCTCTCCCTATCCCACTATGAATCAGCCTCCTTATATCAAAGAAACCATTCAGCATTTGTTTTTTTTGGGGATTGACTAACTTCACTTAGCATTATCTTCTCTAAATCCATCCATTTACCTGCAAATGTCATGATTTTATTCTCTTTTATTGCTGAGTAATATTCCATTGTGTATATATGCCACATTTTTTTTTTATCTACTCATCTATTGAAGGGCATCTAGGTTGGTTCCACAGTTTAGCTATTGTGAATTGTGCTGCTATAAACATTGATGTGGCTGTGTTCCTGTAGTATGCTGGGTTTTTTTAATATTTATTTTTTGTAGTTGTAGTTGACATAATACCTTTATTTATTTTTATGTGATGCTGAGACCCAGGGCCTTGCACGTGCATGGCAAGCACTCTACCACTGAACCACAACCCCAGCATAGTAGTATGCTGTTTTTAAGTTTTTTGGGTATAGACCGAGGAGAGGGATAGCTGGGTCAAATGGTGGTTCCATTCCCAATTTTCCAAGGAATCTCCATACTGCTTTCCATATTGGCTACACAGATTTGCAGTCCTACCAGCAGTGTATGAGTGTACCTTTTTTCCCATATTGTCGCCAACACTTATTGTATACGTAATAGCTGCCATTCTGACTGGAGTGATATGAAATCTTAGAGTGGTTTTGATTTGCATTTCTCTATTTGCTAGTGCTAATGAACATTTTTTCATGTATTTGTTGATTGATTGTACATCATCTTCTGAGAAGTGTCTGTTCAGGTCCTTGGCCCATTTATTAATTGGGTTATTTTGGTATTTTGGTGTTTAGCTTTTTGAGTTCTTTATATACCCTAGAGATTAGTGCTCTATCTGATGTGTGAGGGGTAACAAAACTACAATTATCTTATATTAGACAATAGTGCCAAGAGCAAGGCATTGGAGAAAAGATAGCCTCTTCAACAAATGGTGCTGGGAAAACTAGAAATCCATATGCAACAAAATGAACTTAAACCCCTATCTCTCACCATGCACAAAATGCAACTCAAAGTGGATCAAGGACATAGGAATACAACCAGAGACCTTGTATCTAATAGAAGAAAAAATAGGCCCTAATCTCCATTGTGTGGGGCTAGGCCCCAACTTCCTTTATAAGACTCCTGTGGTACAAGAATTAAAATCAAGAATCAATAAATGCAAATGCCAAATGTTTTCTTTGATATAAGGAGAGTAACTAAGAATAGAGTTGGGAGGAAGAGCATGAGAAGAAGATTAACATTAAACAGGGGTGAGAGGTGGGAGGGAAAAGGAAAGAGAAGGGAAATTGCATGGAAATGGAAGGAGACCCTCATGGTTATACAAAATTACATACAAGAGGAAGTGAGGGGAAAGGGGGAAAAAAAACAAGGGGGAGAAATGAATTACAGTAGATGGGGTAGAGAGAGAAGATGGGAGGGGAGGGGATGGGGGATAGTAGAGGATAGGAAAGGCAGCAGAATACAACAGACACTAGTATAGCAATATGTAAAACAGTGGATGTGTAACCGATGTGATGCTGTAATCTGTATACGGGGTAAAAATGGGAGTTCATAACCCACTTGAATCAAACTGTGAAATATGATTTGTCAAGAACTATGTAATGTTTTGAACAACCAACAATAAAAATTTAAAAAAAAGAATCAATAAATGGGATGGACTCAAACTAAAAAGTTTCTTCTCAGCAAAAGAAACAATCTGTGAGGTGAATAGAGAGCCTACATCTTGGGAGCAAATCTTTACCCCTCACACTTCAGATAGAGCACTGGAATTCTTTCAGTACAAATTTTCAGGAAATTATCCAGGGAAAGTCTTATGACTTCTATTTATAGAATTTAAAGTATTCTAGCTGGGTGAGGTAGCTCACATCTGTAATCCCAGCATCAGAAGGCCAAGGCAGAAGGATCATGGGTGGCTGAGGCAGAAGGATCATGAGTTCAAAGCCAGCTTTAGCAACTTAGCCAGGTGCTAAGTAACTCAGTGAGAACCTGTCTCTAAATTTAAACATAAAATACATGGGCTGGGGCTGGGGATGTGGCTCAAGCGGTAATGCGCTCGCCTGGCATGCGCGGGGTGCTGGGTTCTATCCTCAGCACCACATAAAATAAAATAAAAGATGTTGTGTCCACCGAAAACTGAAAAAAAAAATTTTTTTTAAATTCCCTTTCTCTTCTCTGTTTCTCTCTCTCTTAAAATATATATATATATATATATATATATATATATATATATATATATATATATATATATGTAGGCTGGGGATGTGGCTCATTGGTTAAGCACCCCTGCGTTCAATCTCTGGTACCAAACAACAAACAATCAAACAAACAAAACCTCTACATCTTACAATTACTTTTCATTTCCTTTTAAAAAACTTTAGTTAGTTTTTTTTTATAGAAAATATTTGCAAAAGCAACAAAATGCAAAAAAGAGAGAAACAAAAGTGAGCCTTCTCCCATGCCCCAGCCACCCAGTCCCCTCCTAGGAAACAAATTATTATTAGTTTTTCTCTTATTTTCACTTTAAAAGCAATAATTTGGTTCCCCTATGATCTGGGAATATAGTTTGTTTTCAATTTGAGAGAATCAGATTTAACACATAAATCAAGATGGCTATTTTGGGTCAAGTGTGTCTAGCTGAATGTGCATTTTATTGCTTTCAATTGCAGATTAGATTTCAGATTCACATACTCCTAGAAGAAAACATGGCTAGGTCTCTGTGATTATAAGTTATGTGAAGAATTGCTTTTTTAGGTTCAAAAAAATATTTTTACCATTTATAAAAGCATTCCAATTATATCCATCTATATACACAAGCCTGTGCCAGGGTTGTTTCTCCCAATCACAGTAATGTTTATGTTAGTAATATAATGTTCCACTTCTTGGCTGATAGGACTGTTAGCTTCCAACAGAGACCATCTAGGGTTGCTGAGAGGCTTTCTCAAGTACAGTTCACTACAGCTGAAACTGTTCAAGCCATCAGGAAAAATTAATATGCTGATCTCACCCTAATAACCATACCTCTTAGGACAACTAGGATTTTTTTTTCTACTTCATTGATGAAAAGAAGGTTAACGACCCTTTCTTCAAAAGTAATTTCTTTTTCCCAGGTATAATTAGAAGAAAAAAATAGCCTATACTTTGCAGCTGTGCTTAAGCACAACAGGCTCAACTATGTGAGGGATCTAGGTCTGTGACGTGTGTGTGTTTGTGTATGTGTGTGCACATGTGCATGCAGATATCAGGGTATGTGGGGGTCTGTGCATCCATCTGATGTCTTTGTTCATATGTGTACCTGCGCCTCTGTGTCTATGTAAAATTTCAAATAAGGCTCATAAGTCATGAAAGAAGTGATCTCTTTCATAGTTAAGGAATCTGAGGCTCGAAACGAGATGCAATTAATTCATTAGAAAAGTCAGAGTTGGAGCACGGACTACAAAGACCACATTCTTTTTACCTTATTATACTTCCTGCTATATCATAGATTTGAAAATGCTTTAAATATCATTGATTGTGAAAGCTATGTTTCTATGGCTCTTAGGGTTCTAGCTCAATGCGCATTTCTGTTTCAGGAGTTTGACAAAGCCAATGCACAGAAAGTGCAGCAGTTGTTTTGGGAGGTCGATGAAATGCTATTTGAGGGGAAAGTAAGCCCTCAGACCCAGAATCTAGTGGCTGAATGTGGTGAATGGGCAAGAAGATCCCTCCATCTGAGGTAGGCATATCCTCCATAGAAATTCTCTGGAATATGTTTCGAACTAACCACTTCTGATCTGGGTCTATACAATCAATACATATTGTTGGAAGCCATATATAAATTATGGGTTTGTTTGAGCCAACGTAAGGCAGCTGCTTTTCTGGGAACTCCTGGGTGAAATTCCCCAGTTTGAGAAAGCCCAGATCATGCTGTTTCCCTCTCTTAGCTCACAGCTTTAATATCAACCCCTCTCACACTGAAACCTATCCCTGCTTTTGATGTACTACTCCCCTTAAATAAAGAATTGGAGCCTTTTTCAGTCAAGTTCCTATCAGGACTGGAAGACCTGTCAGGCGCTAATCTCTGGCTTTGTCTTTATTTCTTACCGATTATTTCAGACTGTTTATCTTCCCAGTGGCTCACCCCTCCTAGCAGGAACCTACTCTGCTGGGGTGCTGGTCACCTTGAAAGCACTTGCTCAATCAAAATACTTATCCAAAGCACAGTCTTTTACTGACAGGTGCATCTTTTGCCATGGTGCCTGAGGAGATACTGAGACCTGACAGTATTCAGGTGCTTCTTAATTTGTGAGAAGTAAATGAAGCTCATTCAGAGAAAGGTACTATATATGCAACATGTGCAAGAATATTAGATGTGATCTTTGACCTTCACATTTACTCTTTATGAGCAGCAGGTGGTCGTCAGCACTGAGAATAACCAGAGGGGCTCGTGTGGGCAGAGTATTTACAGAATGACTGGATAGATGAACCTTTCTATGTCATCATTGTTCCTGATATAAAGAGGGTCATTTATTATTTTTTTTAATACCAAAGGTAGAGATTGTAGATTGGGTCTGATGGGAAGCTTTGCTTCCTGTAATTCAGCCAACCTACTTAGAGGAAAGTACATCTGTTATCCCAAGTTCCTCCACATTATATTGGGAAGAATGAATTAGAAATTCAAGTAAGTGCTCATGAATTTTCTAGTTAGCTTGACTAGGAAACTTTAGAAAAAAACCCCTAAGCAATGTATTTTTTCTTTCTTTTCAATCCTTCCTGAATCCCTACCTTAAAGTATATAATGTGTCCATTAGATGTTAATTATACATGTGTGCTTTTCTGGGAGTGGCTTGCCTTCCAAAAAATTCAGGAGCTCCAACTTGATTCTCTTACTGCTCTTCTACATTGTTAAGATAAAAACGAAGGAGGGAAAATGGAAAAAGAAAAGACTGCTAGGTGTATAAGCTTAGTGCAGATATTTATATGTTTTTATTCATTAGATAAGTGTTAGTTAACACATGCAGGGGGTTTCACTGTACTCTTCCTTGCCCTAGGCACCAAGTCTGATATGCTTTATCTCCAAGCCGCTCATCAGTCCTGCAAAGTAAATAAACAAGCAAATGACATTGGTTGCCTAGAGAGCCAGCGCACTGTGCCTCGGAATCTTAGTCTCTGGCCAGAACAGACTGTCTCGCCTTCCCAAAGCTCAGGCACCATGATGCTTCTCATGTGCCAATACACACTACATCATGTCATATCCATGCCTTCAAAAACATTATTGCATCCTTCCTTTACAATCACAAAGCATTTTTTCCTAGTCTACTCAAGGATATTACTAACTCTTTAGTGTCTTTCCATTGCAGAGTATTAGGAAGACAGCTTATCCTGCCAACTGATGAAGGGTTCCAACACTTCCAGGGCAATGTGCCTAGTTCTGCTGGCCACAAACCCTTACCTGATGCCCCAGAATGCAGCAGCAACATCCAACAGTATGTTGATATATGTTACGTCCAAAGTATTTTAGTTATCTTTTTATGTTTAAGTCATCCATGGGCTTTGGCTCCACCAAATATTCAAATTTAGATTTCAATGCAGGGCGAGTGCAAAGAATATTTTCACAAGATGCTTCTGATCCTAAATTAATTATGCTTGAATATATGCATACATGTAAAATATGTATGAAATACAAACACATGCACATAGAAGTTAACTTAAACTTTTATTCCAAAGGCACTGTGAAAGCCAGGCTAAATGCAAAATCAAAAACTGCTTCATTGTGATGGAAGAAATAGCCTCAAGAAAATAGCAGAAGTAAAGCTTTCTCCTATTTTTGAGCTTACAAAAAAGTTTTGTTTGGTTTGTTTTTGTGGTGTTTGGGTTTGGGGTTTGTTTGTTTGTTTGTTTTGTTTTGTTTTATTTGTTTTTTGGGTTTTTTTAATTGTTTTTTGCTGGGGATTGAACCCAGGGCCTCATGCATTCTAGGATATTGCTCTAATAGTGAGTTAAACCCCCACCCTTTTCATTTTTATTTTGAGACAAGGTAATTGTAATTTGCTGCAGCTAGCATCAAGCTTGCTATCCTCCAGCCTCAGCCTCCTCAATAGCTAGGATTACAGGTACGCACTACCACTCCTGGTTTACAGATTTCAATAAATATCTTTATTCCATTTACACCTATTTGGCATTGAGCTGTGGTGGCATCCTTTCAGTACTAGCAAAGAGGATATAGACATATAAAATAATTTAGCCTTTTAAGAAGCCTTTAAGTTGTTTTTTTTTAATGATGCTGGTGTTAAAATGCTTTTAAGGATCAGTTTTTGCAAATGTAATAGTTAATGATTTTTAAATTTGAGGTTCTGTACTTCATGGCGATTTTAAAGATCCGCCATGTTGGTGCACGTGTTACGTTCTTGTTGGTCTACAGAATCCCATATAGGATGATCTTTTCCCATAGGTTGTGCATCTCTGGTTCTCAAATAATCCCAGCCACACTCTCAGCCTCTGCCCTGCCAGGCCCTGTAGGCACAGGGACTGCCCACCTCACAGCATGTTCATCCCTGGAAGAAGAGGTTTACGATATGGATGGAAAGGTGGAAGAATATTTTGCTTTTGACAAAAAAGAGGAGTAAGTAGAATTTTGTTTGACATCCACTTCATAGTATAATAGTTTGACATTTATTTTATTACATGCTCATTTTGTGTTTTGTGTATTTTTTATTTTATCTAAAAGATTTCTATTCTTTTGAGAATACTGTACTCCCCAAAGAGTTCAGATTCCTAACAGCAAGTATATGTGCTAGAGTGGTGTTTCCCTGCCTTCTTGACAGGATGGCACAGAGAGGAAACAAGAGCTCTGTCCAGCATGCTAGTGAAAACAGGCAAGGCCACCAGGTCTCATGCCCAGGGACTGTAGGTTCCTTACCAAGGGCAAAGGGAAAGTTCTAGTCTCCGTACTAAATGCGTATTTTGTTCTTAAAGCTACAAGTGTTGTAGGATAGCAATTTGAAAATTGTTACATTAAAAAACAACTAGTTAATCAATGGATGTGTAACTGATGTGATTCTGCAATCTGTGTATGGGGTGAAGGTGGGAGTTCATAACCCACTTGAATCAAAGTGTGGAATATGATATGTCAAGAAATTTGTAATGTTTTGAACAACCCACAATAAAAAATTAAAAATAAAAAAAAATAAAAAACAACTAGTTGCTAAAATAAGTCTTAACAAATTTAAAAAGGATGAAATATCAAGCATCAGTAACAGGAAGAAAACTGGAAAATTCACCAATATGTAGAAATTAAACTTTTGAATAGCTGAGGGGTCAAAGAAGAAATCAAAAGGGAAAAAAGAAAATTATCTTGAGACAAATGAAAATAGATATATACCTTACCAAACCTTATGTGATAACAAAAACAGTTCTGAGGAAAGTGCATAGCAATCGATGCTGACATTTAAAAAAAAAAAAAAAGAAGAAGAGAGATCTCAAGTCGGCAAATGAACTTTATACCAGAAGGAACCAGAGAAAGAAGAACAGAGTAGAGGAAGGAAATAACCGAAATCAGAGTAGAAATAAATAAATCCGAGACCAGGAAAAAACAACAGAACAGATCCATGTAACTGAGAGTTGTTTTTTATTGTTTCTTTTGGTTTTTATCCTCTAGCTTTATTGTGGTATGAATGATAAAAATTGTGTATATTTTTCAAAAAGTGTGCTATTTAAAAAGAATTTTACATTTATTTATATATGTATAAATATGCATATGCATGCATGTCAGATGATAGAATAACTTTAGAATGGATAGATAGAGAGATTGGGAGAGAGAGAGTGAGTTACTTTAACTTAAACATGGATACCTCTAGTGATTACACTGAGTTTTCATTCTTAGTGGCGATGAACGTCTTGGACAGAAACCAGCTTACCGTGGCAGGAATTGGCATAAACATGGACTTCCTCCTATTTCTCCTCATGACTGTATCAAAGATGCTGTGGCAGCAGAAGTGTTTGATCATGTCTGGAAAAATGTGGTAGAAATATTAGAAGAACTGATTAGGAAAAACTGGGAAACTACACTTAAAGGTACTTATTTGCAGAATTTGGCCACCTGAAAAGATAAAAAATGGGCTTTGTGCTCCCCGCCGCCCCCCCCTTGGCCTCACCTAGAACAGGACTGGGGTGGGAAGACAAGTGGCTTTCTACCTTTACTCACAGGTGATCTTTAATCATTTCCAAAAGGACATGGTTGTTTTTTGAGTTACAAAAATAATACCTTTGCACTCTGAAAAAACAAAAACAAAAACAAAACTCAGAAATGCAAAGAAAGAAACTGGAAGTCACATTATCTTTTATTGTGGTTAAACAAAACAAAACAAAACTTCACCTAACTACTCTCTAATAAGGGGACATTTGTTTTTAATTATTGATGACATTATTTATAGAGTAAAATATGAACATAGCTAACTTGATAATCACTTCGGTTATCTTCACTTAAACATATAAAATGTTCTCTAAAGCACCTAAAATGGAGCAGAAACAAATCATAGTAATTATTGATGGTGGACCTTAATGACTAGTTTTAGGTGTTTGATACAATAGGGCAATAAACATGATAATTCTAATGCTGTTCTTTTTCCAGCCAAAAGGATTAGTCAGGCTTTTATAAAACTCTGAGAATCTTTTTTTGCTCCATTATATAATCTCTGTTTTGCTACTAACCACTGGAATGATGGTATGGTAACCAGTTGGTTCATGGGGTCTGTGCTCTCTAGTGTATTGCTCTTTAATTGATGGCTATAACTTAGATTTTTGGTGACTCAAGAATAGATTTTTTCTTTGCAGAGTGAATTTATTTGTATTAGGTAATCTGATGTTTCTCATAATATTGATTTTTCTGTTGACACAGAAGGTAAAAAACAGAAAGAAAAGTTGAAAGTCGCAGAAAATAGACCTCCACAGGTACTCCCCTCCCGGCTGAGCACTGATGTGGCTAGCGTCCCCCCATCCAGGAGTTCTGAAGCTCGCAGCTTGCCCATGGCTTCTCATCTTAATCTACCCCAGGTAGATGCATTTACATCCTGTTTCCCTTTTGTTTCTTCAGTTTTTACCTTAGTTTTTCAAGAACACCATTCTATTGAATTCAGTTATCAAAATATTTAATAGTGTTTGTCAATAAGATTAAAATGTAATGTGATCACTTCATGGTGTTTATTTAATAGCATCACACATGCCTTATGAGATACTAGTTTGAGATGTGAAATTATTTTTGAAATTTTGTGAGAGGGGGGAAAAATACTTTCCCCTAAGTTTGTAGACATTTTGAAAGTTACAAATGGCCTCCTTCCCTTCCACCAAAGTAACAAAAGAATTAATGAGTGTTCATTAATGAGAATGACTTGGGTTCCTTAAAGAGTTAGTGCTTGTATTAATTGCACCATGTTAGTTGTTTTGAGGAGATATGTAGATGAATAAAACTGGGTCCCTGACCTAGTGAAACAAAAATTATAACATAAGGTGAGATGCATTACCTTCTGTGAGGAATGAGCAAAAATAGGCATGGTAGGAGAATCCAGGAGAGATTGATTCATCCTGATTAGAGGATGGGGTTGATGTTGGACACCAGAGGTGAAATCAGAACAGAAACATGCACAAATGAGTAGAACTTTTGTGGCTAAGAATTTTGGGTGGGCCACTTCAGGCCAGGCAAAGGCATGGATGCATGAAAGATAGATGGTTTAGGCCAGTGATTGGACTGAGGATTTAGAGGACAGAAGACTGGGAACAGCAGGGCATGGTGGGGAAAAAAAAAATGGGGCTTTGGAATCAGGAGGTCTGGGCTGAGTGTTATTTTGGACATGTTAACTTCCTGAGCTTTAATCTACTTATCTGTGTAACAAGGAGAATAATGCGTTGACTAAGATACGGTTGTGAGGATCAAATTCTAGAAAGATGTGAGAACTTTGAATGAAGATTTATAACCATATATAACCACCTGATACACTGTTCTTGAATTTCATCCTCATTCATAGATCTAGTAGGGGTGAGGCTGGAAAGGATGAGCCTGTTCATGGGAGATCTTGGATATGCTAGGGAGTTTGGATTTCATGTTCCACACAGACCTTCTTATGTGGGAGACCAGAGAAAAGGAATCAGACAAGATTCCTGGTCTTGAGCTATGTGCCATTTACAGACCAGTTGGAAGGAGTCAAGCCATACCGAATGCGCGCGCACACACACACACACACACCACACGTGTGCACGCGCGTGCACAGAGCCAATATTATTGATAGTAGTGCGAGTGAGAGTTCGAGCTTTGCTTATTAGAATCCAACTTTGAAACCTGGTGATACCATTCATTAGCATTATGATCTCAAATCAGTCATTTTCTCTCAAAACCTCAACTTTAATATGTTACCTATGCATGAGCTGTGAGAATTAAAGGAGATATGACACTTATTATAGTGTGTAGCCTGGAATAGGCACTCCATAACTTTTAGCTTTTATTATAATCAGATGCTAATTACCTATAATGTATTATATTTTATAATAGATTGCTTTAGCTCATAAGTCCTGTAGGGTTCAGAGGAAAAATATACCTTTCACAAATTAGAATAAGATATACACTAAGTCCTAAATGATAGTAAGATTTGTTAAACTGAAAAAATAGAAAAAGAGGCACACTTAACATAGGTGCAAATAAGCAGAATGCCTGTGTAAGACTGGCAAAACTCATCCCTGAACAGGGCTTGTGGTTTGGGGAGCAGTGAGTTAAACAGTATCTAAGCCTAGCAGCCTTATTTTGCTTTCTAGAGTAAGGGCTTTACAATAAGCTTCTTTGCTTTTTACTGTTCGAGAGAGACTTTTGGAGTTTCTGCCTGGTTCTTGTAGTTTTGGGTCTCTTTAAACTGCTCTGATAAGTTCAATACAGTATTTCCCACTTTGTTTAGTATGCAGTATAAAATATGGTGCCTTGATTAATTTTTTTTTTCAAATTTATCCAGTTTGTACCATTTGTTTTCTGAAGATTTGACAGGCATCAATAATTGGAATATTGTTTTACTTTTTTTTTTTTTGAACTTTTCTCAGATTCATCGCTTCTCCAACAATTTCTACAGTGATTTGAATGGTGTGATGACAATTCAAGCAAAACCACTCCAGCAGAGACCTGTGTATTTTGTGGATAGAACACAGTACGTATGAGGAAGAACCCAACCACTTCCCTATGCTGGAAATGCTGGAACAGGAAGTGTTTATGTTTATACACTGCAGGAACAGTGAAAATCCCATTTAATTCCATGCTCCAGATGTGCCTGAGCATACCCCAGAGGAAGTACAGCCAGAGTAAAAGCAGGTTCTTCTGACATCAACCACAACGTAATTCCTGTTGCATTAGGAAGAGATGAGAGAAGCTCAATGCAGTTATGAATTCCTAAGCTTGTGGGCTTTGCTACCATTTGATTACAAACAATGAAAAAGTGACATTTTTGTTCACCTATGAATTTATTAGTATAGAAATGGAAACAATAGTCTGTCCATTCATTTAACAAGTACCTCCAGGAGTATGTTCTGGGTACCAGGCACTATTGTGCGTGACACAGAGGAAGGTACCAAGAGTTGTGTTCAATCTTCTCGTAGCACTCACATCTGAGCAACTAACTGGATTTTCCTCCTCTAGGAATGAACAAGAGGACAAATCATCTAGTGTGGGCGCCAGTGCTCTGTCCTCTACATGGCTCCGCCTGGCTAGAATCTCAGATACTCACAGATTACAGACTTCTGCCAGGAAAATACCAGCGCACCGGAGGCTGCCTTCTCTTACTTCAGATTCACAGAGAATAAAAACCCCCAATGTGTACAGTGATGAAATTCTTAGGGGAACAAAACTGTAAGTCTTGTTTCTTTATCATGGTAAACAAAAGGTCATAGGGCAGAGACATTGTCAATTAGGATTGATGGATTATTCTGAACAAAGTATCCTCCATCAGATTTTATTTAGATGCTTTTCTTTTCTTACAAGTTCATTTGAGTATTCAACACTAACTTTGTTCCAATAGTTCTATGTAACTGTCTACATACATTTATTTATTTTATTAATGGAATTTCTTGTATTTCCGTTATTATCTTAGTTATTCTCACTGCAAACCTTTCCGGTGGTATTCATATTATCTCAAATATAAGATGTAGAAACAGGCTGAAAGAAGTTGAATAACTTGCCTAGGATCATCATCACAGCAGGAAGGCAGAGCTGGGGAGAGCCACAATGCTCTTGGCTTTGGAGTCCACCCCCTGAGCCCTAGGCTATAGACTTTCTACTGCAAGGGACTGAGCTTTAGAGGAGTTGAACTGAAATCCCCTTCAGGAGCTGATGGGTTGAGCAGCTTCCAACGATTAGTCACTGGACTCTCAAAAAATGCATTTAGAGCACCATTTGCAATGTTTTGATAGACCACCTTTCTTTTACAACTGATATATATTAGGCATAGGATGGATATTCCTGGTGGTATTTGGATCTGTTCTGTTTGTGCTTTCAAGTCATCTCTCCCTCCTTCAATCTCAGCGTGGCCACTCCCCACAAGCTTATGCCCGTGTCAATAGCACGGACCGCTCTCTCCTCTCTTCCAGTCTTCCAGGGCTCCACTATCAAACTTTCATCAGAAACCATTCCTATTTCCTACTGAAACAAATCTAGATACCTCCAATTGTACATTCCTTCCATGTTTTGGTCCCTCTTTCCAGAGAAGAGAATTTTTAAAGTTTTTTCCCCCACTATTAACCATGTCAGGGACCCTTTTTAGACTATTTTCCCTAATTGTGCCCCAATCCTGGGAATTCAAATATCACAGATATACTGTCTATCTGTATGTATAGCAATGCTTGCTTTATGCAGAAGAGTAAAATTTTTTGCCTTCTTTGAGGGGATCCTTCTCACCCTCTTTGACTATGCATAACTATTTCCTATTAGTTCTCTTCTCCTCTTTAATTCTGGGCAAACTTATCTTCCTTTGCCTCACAAACACACCAGCTATGCTTGTTTTGATATGTTTATGGTGTCCTCTGCATTTTTTTGTTGTTGTTGTGTGTGTGTGTATGTGTGGTGGTCCTGAGATTCAAACTGAGGGCGAATTTGTGCCACTTGGGCACTCTACCCCTGAGCTACAACCCCTGCCGTTAACTTTCAATTTTATGAAATAACATTTTTTCTCTAATCCAAATACCCTGGAACATGTTGACAATATAAAAATATGAATAGAAACCAAAGATTACTTGTATGTTTCTCACACAGAAATATAGTAATGACAATGGTTGGTAAAATTTCTATCAACTTTGTCTAGGATTATATTTTTTCCTTCTTTCCCATTGTCTTTTTCCTAACACTATCTTACTGTCGTATAATGTAGCACTTTTTTCTATACTTTTTTCACTTAACATTATATTATTTATATTTCAGTTCTCAAATACTTTTTAAAAGCATGATTTTAATGACTACTCATCATGTGGGTATATCATAATTTGTTAAGTATTTCCCTATCTATGAAATTTCACTCTTTTCTATATTTTTATTTTGATGATGTGCAGTGGACATCATTTGATATCAGTCTCCAAAAGGATATCCTTAAATTGTTTCCTAATGATACAATCCTAGAAGGAAAATGAACAGGTCAAAGGTTATGGATATTTTTTAGGTTCTTGAAATATTTTTCCAAAGTTCTTCCTGCAATGGTTGTACAAATTTATAGTCCCACTGGCAATATAGGTCTCCTTCCCCGCGGTCTCTAAAGTTGAGGTCCTGCATATACTTTTTAAAAACTTTATAGCTTTATAGGTTAAAAAGTCTCCTACTATAACTTTCATGACTTTGTTATTAACGAATAAATGATTTTGAATCTGTTTCTAGAATGTCTTATCTATTCCTGTGCAAAAACCAATTTAAATTTTGAATGTTATTATCTGATAGGGACTGTCTCCTGTCATTACTCTTCTTTTATTAGAATTTAGTCAGTGGCTGATTGACAGCCACTGCTAAATAGGGGCAATGTGATTTGACCCACTGATTTGGTATAAATTTCAAACAAATAATCTTTACAATCAAAGTGTCAAATTTAAAACAGAACATACACATTGGGCATCATAGTGTTAAATCTATAAAGAATGTTGGAAAAACTAAAATCTTCGTGATATTTAGTTTTCCTACCAGAGAATGTCTTTTTGCCTCTAACTTCATATCACCTTTTTATGACTTCACATAAAATTCTGTAGTCTTCCTCATCTAAGCCCTGTGCATTGATAATTAATTGTGCCTCTTATGGATTATGACTTTTCTTAAAATATATATATATGTGTGTATGTATATATATACATACTATTTCAATGATCTCTAATTACTTGTATTTTCAATAGCTGGTCATAGGAAGGAGCTAGATCTTCAGTTTCTTCTGTGTTCTGTACAGTTCCCAGTGTGGCTGAGCACTTGGGAAATCCAGATTGACAGCCACTGCTAAATAGGGGCAATGTGACTGGAGCTGCTGGTCCCTGTCTCATCTCCCTGAAGCATGGCTTGTTTTCCTTGAACATTGCTTTTGGAAGGCAGATCGTGATTGGCAGCTCAGATTGGAGTTGCCTGCTAGGGGCTGACTCCTCCGCACTTGCATACTCAGTTGCATGTTGTTGTGTTTACAGGCAAACTGGCCTAGACCACGTGTCTTCCCCACCGGTTCAAACCTCCTGGAGCAGGTTGCCCCCAATAGGCTCAGAGGCTGGGGAGCAGATCACAGCTGTTTCTGGATCCCGCTCCATTTCCGTAAGACAGATTTCATTAAAAGTGCAACCGTTTTAGTTAATCTGTGGGAAAACAAGTAAACCAGAACAATCCTAGCACTTCTAAGAGAAGTCAGAACATAAGAGAATGCTCTACTTGGCTGCATCCAAAATGTCTTCATAATCCACTTCTAGAATATAAATGGCTCATGAGACTTTAGAGGGGGATGATATAAAAATTTGTCTTGAGCTAAAACAGAAAGTTCAGGTGTCAAGGAAATAGACAGTGAAGAAAAGAGCATAGAGGTTAGGTCAAGAGACAGGCGGAGCCATGTCTCCATCCTGCCATGCAGACCCACCGATTTGGTACAAGTTTGCTTTCATCTCCCTGAACCTTAGTTTTTTCATCTATAAAAGGGTATTAACAATTCCTGTCTCGAGGAATTGTTAGAAGGATTAGATGAATGCATACATTTTAAATGTATGATATAATGACTGACGCAAACCAGGAGCTCAGTAAATTATTATCCCTGTCATTTTTTTTAAACCTTTATTTTTTATTTATTTATTTTATGTGGTGCTGAGGATTAAACCCAGTGCCTCACCTGTGCAAGGCAAGCGCTCTCCACTGAGCCACAACCTCAGCTACCCTTATCATTTTTATCAGCTCTCATTTTTGCAGCTGATTTTTGCCATACTTATTGCAGTACAGAGGCAGTGTCTTTCTCACTCAAGCTTAGTTCACGCATGCTCTTGGTAGTATGGGTAACCAGGTTTCTCACAGATTTACAATGATCCACATGCCTCACTCTGAAACAAGTAATTTGTGTCTTTTGTATGAAACATGAAAGGACGACCTGTTAGAGGAGCATAGGACAGAAAGAGAGAAACAAAACAAAACAAAACACTAAGTTAGGGTTTTCTCTCACATTCTTTTCTGCCACCTTAATCACAGCAATAGAACCTGTTACCAGAAGGCTAGAGTGGCAAAGCTTGAATGTGTAACCTTAGGATGAAATAATAAAACAAGGCAAATGCTTCCCAAGCCCAGAATTACATTTCTAATATAAATAAATGTTAAGAATTTTGTGTGATTAAGGTTTTTAATACCTATTTACCTATTATGGCATTACCTTTTGGGGGGATTTAATAATATAATAATGTAATTAAAACATAGATATTTAGAAGTCCTTGTATTTGGCAAATTTAAATAAGTATTTTAAAAAGTAACTCAGTGAATAAATAAGTGAATGATTGAAGCATCCATAGATGTTGTTTTGTCTTTCTAAGGAATGTATTTCTTTTAAACAAGAGTGTATTATTCTTCATTCAGTACAGGGGAAGGTATCCCCCAAACCATGTGTCAAGTGCAATGCCTGATGGCATAGAAAGATCCCCTCTCCGAGAAAAAACCATTACCCTGGAACAACTTTCAAGGCCCAACACAACCCATACATTCCGGGTAGGTCTGCTGTTGCTGTTAACCATAACATTGATTAAAACAAAACAAAACACAACAAAAAAGATATTTTGTTTTTTAAATAAAGCTCATCCCTCATTTTATTTTCCTCTTAACAGTCGGATACACCTCGAAAAGGATCACTTACAACGATGGAATTTGCTGGTCACACATGGACAGGTCAAAGTATTTTGATAGGTCAGTATTTTCTTGTTTCTTTTTTTTTTAAACCTAAAACTATTTTCTTATTTATATATGACAGCAGAATGCATTACAATTCTTATTACACATATAGAGCACAATTTTTCATATCACTGGTTGTATACAAAGTATATTCACATCAATTCATGTCTTCATACATGTACTTTGGATAATAATGTCCATCACATTCCACCATTCTTTCTTTTTTTATTATTGGTTGTTCAAAACATTACAAAACTCTTGACATATCATATTTCATACATTAGATTCAAGTGGGTTATGAACTTCCATTTTTACCCCAAATACAGATTGCAGAATCACATCGGTTACACATCCACATTTTTACATAATGCACCATTATTTCTAACCCCATGTCCCCTCCCTTCCCCTCCAACCCCTCTGCCCTATCTAGAGTTTGTCTATTCCTCCCATGCTCCCTCTCCCTATCCCACTATGAATCAGCCTCCTTATATCAGAGAAAACATTCGGCATTTGGTTTTTTGGTATTGGCTAATTTCATTTAGCATTATCTTCTCTCCATCCATTTACCTGCAAACTCCATGATTTTATTCTCTTTTATTGCTGAGTAATATTCCATTGTGTATATATGCCACATTTTTTTTTATCCATTCATCTATTGAAGGGCATCTAGGTTGGTTCCACAGTTTAGCTATTGTGAATTGTGCTGCTATAAACATTGATGTGGCTATGTCCCTGTAGTATGCTGTTCTGAAGTCCTTTGGGTATAGACCAAGGAGAGGGATAGCTAGGTCAAATGGTGGTTCCATTCCCAATTTTTCAAGAAATCTCCATACTGCTTTCCATATTGGCTGTACCAATTTGAAGCCCCACCAGCAGTGTATGAGTGTACCTTTTCCCCCACATTCTCACCAACACTTATTGTTGTTTGTCTTCATATTAAATAGCTGACATTCTGACTGGAGTGAGATGAAATCTTAGAGTGGTTTTGATTTGGATTTCTCTAATTGCTAGTGCTAATGGGCATTTTTTCATATATTTGTTGATTAATTGTATATCATCTTCTGAGAAGTGTCTGTTCATGTCCTTGGCCCATTTATTGATTAGGTTATTTGTTTTTTTGGTGGTTAACTTTTTGAGTTCTTTATATTCTAGAGATTAGTGCTCTATCTGATGTGTAAGGGGTAAAGATTTGCTCCCAAGATGTAGGTTCTCTGTTCACCTCACAGATTGTTTCTTTTGCTGAGAAGAAACTTTTTTGTTTGAGTATATCCCATTTATTGATACTTGATTTTAATTCTTGTGCCATGGGAGTCTTATTAAGGAAGTTGGGGCCTAACCCCACATGATGGAGATTAGGGCCTACTTTTTCTTCTATTAGATGCAGGGTCTCTGGTTTTATTCCTAAGTCCTTGATCCATTTTCAGTTGAGTTTTGTGCATAGTGAGAGATAGGGGTTTAATTTCATTTTGTTGCATATGGATTCCCTGTTTTCCCAGCACCATTTGTTGAAGAGGCTATTTTTTCTCCAGTGCATGTTTTTGGTACCTTTGTCTAATACAAGATAATTGTAATTTTGTGGGTTAGTCTCTGTGTCCTCTGTTCTATACCATTGGTCTACCAATCTGTTTTGGTGCCAATACCATGCTGTTTATGTTACTATTGCTCTGTAGTATAGTTTAAGGTCTGATATAGGGATGCCACCTTCTTCACTCTTCCTTCTAAGGATTGCTTTATCTGTTCTGGGTCTCTTATTTTTCCAGATGAATTTCATGATTGCTTTTTATTTCTATAAGGAATGTCATTGGGATTTTGATCAGAATTGCATTAAATATGTATAGTGCTTTTGGAAGTATAGTCCTTTTGATAATATATCCAAGAACAAGGTAGATCTTTCCATCTTCTAAAGTCTTCTTTGACTTCTTTCTTTAGGGTTCTGTAATTTTCATTGTATAGATATTTCACTCTTTCATGAAGTTGATTCCCAAGTTGTGTTTTTTTTTTTTTTTTTTGAGGCTATTGTAAATGGGGTAGTTTTCCTCATTTCCCTTTCAGAGGATTTGTCACTGATATACAGAAATGCCTTTGATTTATGAGTGTTGATTTTGTATCCTGCTACTTTGCTGAATTCATTTAATAGTTCTAGAAGTTTTCTGGTGGAACTTTTAGGGTCTTCTAGATATAGAATCATATCATCAGCAAATAGTGCCAATTTGAGTTCTTTTTTTCCAATGTGTATCCCTTTAATTTCTTTCATCTCTCTAATTGCTCTAGTCAGTGTTATAAGAAGTATGTTAAATAAAAGTCCTGAAAGAGGGTATCCCTGTCTTGTTCCAGTTTTTTAGAGGGAATGCCTTCCATTTTTCTCCATTTAGAATGATGTTGGCCTGGGACTTAGCATAGATGGCCTTTATGATGTTGAAATATGTTCCTGGTATCCCTAATTTTCTAATGTTTTGAACATAAAGGGGTGCTGTATTTTGTCAAATGTTTTCTCTGTGTCTATTTAGATGATCATATGATTCTTATCTTTAAGTCTATTGATGTGATGAATTACATTTATTGATTTCCGTATGTTGAACCAACTTTGCATCCCTGGGATGAATCCTGGAGAAAAAATAGCCTCTTCAACAAATTTTGTATTGGATTTTCCAGAATCTTATTGAGAATTTTTGCATCTATGTTCATCAGAGATATTGGTCTGAAGTTTTCTTTTTTTTGTTGTGTCTTTGCCTGGTTTTGGAATCAGAGTAATATTAGCCTCACAGGATGAGTTTGGAAGTGCTGCCTCTTTTTCTATTCCTGAAATAAATTGAAGAGTATTGGTATTAATTCTTCTTTAAAGGTCTTGTAGAACATGGCTGTTTATCCATCCAGTCCTGGGCTTTTCATGGTTGGTAGACTTTTGATGGTGTCTGCTATTTCATCACTTGAAATTGATCTGTTTAAATTGTATATATCATCTTGATTCAATTTGGGCAAATTATATGACTCTAGAAAATTGTCAAGGCCTTCAATATTTTCTATTTTACTGGATTACAAGTTTTCAAAATAATTCTAATTATCTTCTGTATTTCTGTAGTGTCTATTGTGATATTTCCTTTTTCATCACCTGTATTAGTGATTTGAGTTTTCTCTCTGATCCTCTTCATTAGCATGGCTAAGGGTCTGTCAATTTTATTTATTTTTTTCAAAGAACCAACTTTTTGTTCTGTCAATTTTTTCAGTTGTTTCTTTTGTTTAAATTTCATTGATTTCAGCTCTGATTTTAATTATTTCCTGTCTTCTGCTGCTTTTGGGTGTTGATTTGTTCCTCTTTTTCTAGGGCTTTGAGATGTAATGTTAAGTCATTTATTTGTTGACTTTTTCTTCTTTTAAAGAATGAACTCCATGCAAAGAACTTTCCTCTTAGAACTGCTTTCATAGTGTCCCAGAGATTTTGATATGTTGTATCTATGTTCTCTTTTTTTTTTTTTAATTTTTTATTGTTGGCTGTTCAAAACATTACATAGTTCTTGATGTATCATATTTCACAATTTGATTCAAGTGGGTTATGAGCTCCCATTTTTACCCCATATACAGATTGCAGAATCACATCAGTTACACGTTCTCATTCACCTCTAAAAATTTTTTAATCTCCTCCTTGATGTCTTCTGTAATCCATTGTTCATTCAGTAGCATATAGTTTAGTCTCCAGGTATTGGAGTGGATTTCATTTTTTTATTTTGTCATTGATTTCTGATTTCATTCCATTATGATCTGATAGAATGCAGGGTAGTATCTCTACTTTTTTATATTTGCTAAGAGTTGCTTTGTGGCATAGTATATGGTCTATTTTAGAGAAGGATCCATGTGCTGCTGAGAAGAAAGTGTAGTCTGTCGTTGAAGGATGAATTATTCTATATATGTCAGTTAAGTCTAAATTATTGATTGTATTATTGGGTTTTATAGTTTCTTTGTTCAGCTTTTGTTTGGAAGATCTATCTAGTGATGAAAGAGGTGTATTAAAGTCACCCAGAATTATTATGTTGTGGTCTATTTGACTCTTGAACTTGGGAAGAGTTTGTTTGATGAACGTAGATGCTTCATTGTTTGGGGCACATATATTTAAAAATTGTTAAGTCTTGTTGGTGTATGGTTCCCTTGAGCAGTATGTAGTGTCCTTCTTCATCCTTTTTGATTGAATTTAGTTTGAAGTCTGCTTTATTTGATATGAGGATGGAAACCCCTGCTTGCTTCCGTGGTTCATGTGAGTGGTATGATTTTTCCCAACCCTTTACTTTCAGTCTGTGGATGTCTTTTTCTATGAGATGAGTCTCTTGGAGACAGCATATTGTTGAGTCTTTCTTTCTTTCTTTTTTTTTTTTTTTGATCCAATCTGCTAGTCTATGTCTTTTGATTAGTGAGTTTAAGCCATTAACATTCAGGGTTATTATTGAGATGTGATTTGTATTCTTAGACATTTTCGTTATTTAATATGTCTTAGTTTCTCCTCTGATTAGTTTTTTTCTGATTTTTCTATAGTGTAATCACTCCCTCTGTTGATTTTCCTCATTGTTTTTCATTTCCTCTTCTTTGAATATTTTGCTGAGGATGTTCTGTAGTGCAGGCTTTCTAGTTGTAATTTTTTTAACTTTTGTTTATCATGAAAGGTTTTTATTTCATCATCAGATCTAAAGCTTAGTTTTTCTGGATATAAGATTCTTGGTTGGCATCCATTTTCTTTCAGAGCTTGTTAAATGAACTCCTTCTCTAACATTTCATCAACTTCGCTGTTCATGGGTTCTGTTATTATAGTGTCCTGGCATCCTGGATCTGGGTCCTGCCCAAGTTGGAGTGGATGGATCTGGGTCGCTGGGCTTGACCTTCCTAGGTAGTCTATTGGTCCAAAGTGAGGATGGAAACCCCTGCTTGCTTCCATGGTTCATGTGAGTGGTATGATTTTTCCCAACCCTTCACCTTCAGTCTGTGGTTGTATTTTTCTATGAGATGAGTCTCTTGGAGACAGCATATTGTTGGGTCTTTTTTTTTTTTTTAATCCAATCTGCTAGTCTATGTCTTTTGATTGGTGAGTCCTGCACCAGAGGCTAGGCTCTGGAGGGTGTCTGCCCCGCCGGGGGATGGGTGGACTGTGCCTGCTGTACCTGGGACCCACATAGGCCAATGTGGGTGGATCTAGGCTGCTGGGCTTGACCTCGACAGGTCAGTAGTTTTTACATATAAAGATAATGATGAATTTGCAAAACTTTTAGTTTCATAAAATGAAATTGAAGGTTATCTACCTGATAGGCCTATTTTGACCATGTAGAAGAAAATAGCAAGTGTCCATGATCTGTGGCTCTACCTTCAGAAATTCTATCAAGAGAAAACCTGTACATATCAGCAGGGGCCACAGCAGCTGCAGGGTGGAAAGGAGAAAATGGATCAGTGCTCTTAATGAACTGGGGTCTCATTTTCATTAAAAAAAAAAAGGAAAATCCTTTCTGCAATCAAGTTTCATGCTTTTCTTCTAAATGAAACCATTATCCTATATTATCTTTGAAAATCTAATGATAATAGTGCTTGAGAAAATGAGCACAGATTTGCTAATTATTTTCTATCCTAAAACTTTCCAGATATATTTTCATCCTAGTATGTTTTTGATTAATAAAATTATAGTTTGAATGCAGGCCGGGCATAATTTGATTTTCAAACTAATACCAACATTTCCTTTTTCCCATGGAGGCAGCACTGATCATGTGAGGTGTGCTGTTCTGGAATCTGCTGGGTTCCCACCCTGGCTCTACACTGACAAGATGTGCAGTCCTAAGAAAGTCCAAACCTCTCTGAACCTCAGTTTCTTATTTTATAACAGATTATATAGATAAAATAGTTGTTGGAAAATCTATGAAAAGGACATAGCTAGATGCCAGGCATATACTACTTGCTCAGAATTATAAGCCATTTGTATCATAAATAGTCTTAAATGTCAAGGATAATGTATTTGTGTTAAGGGAAATTTTAAATATCATTCTAAAAGTAAAATAGGTAAATTTTAGGCATAATAAAACAGATTTATCACCGTTAATATCAGCCTTTCGGGGGGGGGGAGGGAGGGCTGGGGTTGTGGCTTAGTGGTAGAGAGCTTACGTAGTAGCATGGGTGAGGCACTGGGTTCCAACCTCCGCACCATATAAAAATGAAATAATAAAGATATTGTGTCTACCTACAACTAAGAAAACCCCAAATATTTAAAAAAAAAATCAGCCTTTCTACAGTTTTATAGCATAGTGATGTCAGGGATTCTTTAGTCCTTTGACGTTTTTCTCTTATACTAATAGCCCTAGGTGGCTTTTGTTGCTTTTTATGTTCCTTAGCAGTGTTACCCATCATTTTTAGTGACAATAAGATTCCTGTAAATGGCCACTGTGCTGCATTATAACGTATGACTTTTAACATAGTTGTAGATAGTAGGGGGAAAGTAAGCACTGATTTGTTTATTATTCAGTAACAATATACCAGGGAAGTCTCACCCTGTGCTAGCTTCTGATATAAGGGCCAAGATTCAAAATATCAACGATGGATCTGGGGGTGTGGGGGTGTGGCTCAGTGGCAGAGCACTTGCCTACCATGTTTAAGGCCCTGAGTTTGATCTTCAACAACTCCCCGCCTCCCCCCCTCCCCCCTCCCTCTCTCTCTCTCTTTCACACACACACACACAGACACACACACACACACAGCAAACAAACACAAAAACATCAGAATGCTTTGGTTTGTGCTTCAAGGAACTTTCGGTCTTATGGGGAAGATGATGGAAATGGTCATGAGAGGTGATCAGGATCACCTAGCTCAATCTTCAGGCAGTAACGGGTGCAGAGGGGCTTCCCAGAGGAGATGAACACCACATGAGGTGTGAGAAAGGATTGAAGGCTGTCAACTGAGATTGGTATCAAAAGAAGGAACTGAAGAAATTTTGAGGAACTCAGTTTTGGAGATGTTTACTGCAGCACAAGTGGACATGTCTAATAGGTTGTTTGGATGCACAAAAAATGAGAGGAGGAGGAGGAGGTAAGAGAGCTGGGCTCTGAACAGTTTTAAATCTGCACTCCTAATCTTTCCCTACCAAATACTTAGTCAGTGTCTTCTCTTATCAATAACTTTGATATCATTGATGGTCAGAGATCATTCTCATTTCTGTAGAAGCAACCAGGGGAACATAAGGGTTTCTAAGGCTTATTTTCTTTTTCTCTGACAAGCAGGCACTTGGCCTCCTTGTTCTCTTTGCTTCCAAGTCAAGAAGCACCAGGAGTTACTAACTTAGCTTTCCATTTATACTTGGGCAGGAAAAATAATAATAATAATAATGACCCTTTCTTTTTCTCAGGACTCCAAATGACAGTCTTTGTATATGAGAATTGCCTGGTTGGTGGAAGAGGAAACATTAAAATATTTTTTGGTGGGGCTGGGGATATAGCTCAGTTGGTCTAGTGCTTGTGTCACATGCACAGGGCCCTGGATTCAATCCACAGCACCAAAAAAAAAAAAAATTTTCCCCTTTTTAAAAAGTATCATGTTGGGCTGGGTTTGTGGCTCAGTGGTAGAGTGCTTGCCCAGGATGTGTGAGGCACTGGGGTTCGATTCTCAGCACCACATACCAATAGATAAATATTTAAAAATTCATCAACAACTAATAAAAATATTTTTTAAAAAGTATCATCTACATGGAATGTACAAAACAATCCTCTTGAGAGGTTGAACTTTTAACATTCTAATGAGAATTACTTTCTGGTTTGTGTTTCAGGTTCACAATATTTGCCTAAATCTTTTCAGAGGACAACTGTGACTTCAAGAAAGAGATTCCAAGTGGCATCTTGATATTAATTCACCAGAACCATGGACTCACTGGAGCATCCAAAGCCTCAGCATGCCATTTTTCACTTGAAAAATGGAAGAACAAGTATTATACTATTTATCTGTTTATCTGACAGTCTGCAATGTTAGGCTACCTGAGTGAAATGCAAATATAATAAGTAATTTCATTTGAACACCTCACATTCTAAAGAGCATGGAAGTCAAAGTCACTAATCTTCTTTACTGGGAGCATTCCTGAGGTTCTTCAGGCTTTTCTCAGAAGATCTAATATGTGTTTCAATTCCATCATTCTATCAGTTACGCACACAGAGAGTGTGTGCCTATATGCACACTCGAATAATATATATGATATATATTATCTAGGTCTATGCCATTTTGTAACTTTGTACCTTAATTTTTTAAATCTCATTCTCTTAATAATTCCATAAAAATCCTAATCACTAATGGATATAACTTCCTTCTTTGAAAACTAGTAAAGTTGTGTTTGAGATAATCTGTCCCATTTGGAAAAGATTCTGGTTATTCTAGTCACGGTGCTGACTTTGTTATATCTGTTTAAAAGTGCTTTAATCATGAGCTTCTTTGTGCATCGTCAGTGGCTAATTAATTTTAAGCCAACTGTGTGTTACTAGTTTTTATTTGAAAGGCAAGCCTTGCATTTGAAAGTCCCCACATTTATACATTTTTAAAGCTGAATACAAAACATAATTAAAACTGGTTCCATATGTCTTCATCCTCATTATTTCAACTGAGTGTCCATGCACTGGAGAGAAAGCTTTGCAGCAGCATCCCTGCTTTTTTGGAACAAACAAACCCATAATTTATATATAGCTCACAACACATAAACACATGTGTATCACATAAATGTGTGACAAATTATTTTCAAACATTTCTGCCTATGAGGGGTCGGGATCATTTTCTATTAGAGATGTTTGGAAATTAAAAAGCATGCTGAGGGGTTGGGGTAGAGCACTTGCCTTGCACACATAAGGCACTGGGTTCAATCCTCAGCACCACATAAAAATAAACAAATCAAATAAAGATATTGTGTCTATTTAAAAAAAAAAGCATGCTGAGACTAAAATTAGTGTTTTTGGTTTTGTTTTTTAAAATCACAGAATAACAAGTAAAAATGGGCCTAGAGTCTTGCCTCCATTTGATGATTTCTCCATTATATGCTCCACTCCATCTTCATAGCCAGGGAACATGTTAGGGAGTGGAAATGAGAAGGACCAGTATCTTTTTACCTCTTTTGGGGTGGCTAGTCTACGGAGCTCAACTCCCTAACTCAGTGAATATTGCTAATGCTTAGTTTCTCACACGAAGAAGACCAAAAGCATTTTGAAAATTTTCTAAATTACTCAACATTAGCTATGGAAACATTTAAGAGAAAACCCCAGTCTTGGTTCAGCAGTTGTCCAGCTTGAGTAATTTCTAGATGGGTGAGTGGTCTGGAACCCCTGTTTGCAGACTCCCTCATTAGTTGCTCTCCGGTCCCCCAGAGCTGCTAGAAGAGCTGTCCATTCTGCTCTCTCACAGCCATTCAGGCAACTTTATATTAATCTCTAGACACCATCCAACTGCTTCCCTATTCAGCCCAAATATCTTGCAAGGGAGATGGCAGACAGGCAGCCTACCTAACAAAGAGATTGAGCATCCAAGATAAATTCTTTTTTCCTAGAAAATCACTGAATCTCTTTATTATTTTTATAATGGTAAAAAGTACTTTGAAAAATATAACCAAATACAATGATAGTGAACTTTATCTTCTAAACATTTAGATTAGAAGATCAAGTGCTGTTAGAGACTACATAAGGACTTGGTTCTCTTATTGATTCTAAAAGTGCTATCCCATAGCAATTTTTTTCTGCTTGTGTAAAAGATATTTTATTTATAGGCTAAATGAGATTGAAAGGTTAGTACATAATCCTTATATCAAGGATGGTGCTTTTAAACTAATAAAGTAAAAATTAGAGCAGCATTTCCACAACTACCTATTTTGCTAAAAGAATCTTAGAATTTTTCTGCTAAAAAAATTGAAAAGAGGCAAATTTAATTATTTCTGAGATCACCCAAAACCAAAGAAGGAATGGAGAAAATTTAAAATAATCTAGGAAAGTCTAAAATATCACAGAAAACTGTTAGATTTTATAAATTTAATATAAAAGGAAGTATTCATATATATTGTTCTGACCTAGAGTGGAATTTCTATACCATATTGAGATGTATGTTTCTATATATAAATCATTTCAGTATATTTTTTATTTTCATATGACTATAGATCATTGTTCAGGATTTTTAATTCCTTAACTTTTAATAAAATATCAAAGTGTTGAAAGTTTTAAGAAATTCATTGCATTTGTAAAAGCACCTTTACACTCTCAATTTTTATAAAATTTATACACCTATCTACTTTGCAATTTCTAATACACAGGCATTCATTCAATCATTTCTAACTACATAACAAGCCTTTCCCAGTGAATTCAAAATATATAAACATACACATCTGTGAAAGTTTACTTCATTTATAAATACTCCACTGTAATCTGTTTCAGAAGATGACATTTCTACTGATAATCATCATGAACTTATTGTTTCATAATATATTAATTCCTTTTTTGTGTAAAGTGTTCTCAGCATTGGACTGAATAAAAGTTTTGCTATAAAAGAATTTAGATTTTAGTAAAGGAGATATGCTATAAACAACATATAGAAACATACAATAAGGTCAGCTAGCAATAAATGCTATGGAGAAACAAAACAAGGCAATGTGACCAAGTACCACTTTAGCTGACATCTTCAGATATCTGCAGCTGGGGTTTGGAGAGGAGGTGTAGACTGGAGATGATATAAATTTGGGAATTGTTGCTTGCACAAGTGCTCCTAAACTTACAGTGAGGTTACATCCTGATAAAACTATCATAAATCTGAAATATCATAAGTCAAAAATGCATTTAATATACCTAACCTACCAAACAACATAGCTTATCCAAGCCTGTCTTAAATGTTCTCACAGTACTTACATTAGCCTTGAGTTGGGAAAAATCATCTAACACAAAGCCTCATTCATAATAACATATCAACCATCTCATGTAATTTTTTTGAATACTTGCATCCAAATAAAACCTAGTAATGCGTGTACTACACGTTAGAGTTATTGACTCTCATGATTGTGTGACTGGCTGGGCGCAGTAGCTTGCCATTCCCAGCATCACATGAGTATTCTGTAGCATATTGCAAGCCCAAGAAATATTCAAGATTTAAAGTTCAAATTCTGTTTTCTTTGGAATCAGTGTTGCTTTTGTATCATTATATAGTTGAAAAATTCTGTGTAGCCATCATAAGTCAGGAACTGTCTATACAGTCCATAGGTATGAAATGGATGAGATACATTATCAGTGTAGACAGACAGTGAGTGTAGAAAAGTAGGGAAGGAGGAACAGATTAATAAACTGTTCTGAGATTTGAGCATGTCAAATCTGCAGGTCTAGGATGTGAAGAAAAACCAGAAAAGTACACTGAGAATGAACGGCTGGTGAAGGGAAGTCAAAATCAAGATAATGTGGAATCCTCAGAGTTAAATGGAGAGAAAAGTGTTACAAAGAAGGGACAAGACCTGATGAAATGCCGTTGATAAGTCAAAAGTCAATTTATATAAAATGAAGAATTGACCAAAAGAGTTAGCCAGATGGAAGATGTCGGTAACCGCTAAAGTTTGAGTATGTCCCCCAAATTGATTGTTTTGGAAACCTTATCCCTAAAGTCATGTGTTAATGGTATTTGGAAGTGGAACCTTTGGGATGTAATTAGGATTAGATGAGGTCATGATGGCAGGGCCCCTATGGTGCAATTAGTGGCTTTTTTTAGAAGAGTCTTGAGCTAGCGCACTTACCCTATCTTGCCATGTGATGCCCTGTGCTACCTCAGGATTCTACAGTCCCCGCCATCAAGTAGATGCTCAAACTTGAACTTCCCAACACCCCAAACCATGAGTCAAATAAACCTTTATTATTTTTTAAAACATCTAATTGAATACTTTATTGATTTTAATGTGGTGCTGATGATCAAACCCAGTGCCTCGCAGGTACTAGGCAAGTGCTCTACTACTGAGCCACAACCCAAGGCCAAAACTTTATTCTTTATAAATTACCCAGTCTGTGGTATTTGGTTATAGCAAGAGAAAATGGGCTAAGACAATGACCTTTAAAGAAAACCTCTCTTCCTACTGAGGATCATAAAAATTGTAATGGCCAAGGAACAGATATTTGGACGTACACACAAAGGCAATATGAGAAAGAAAGTTGGTAAACAGGAAAACTATGTTGAGGTTAATGTTTTTTTTTTTTTTCCTTTGTGATGCTGAGGATTGAACCCAGAGCCTCACTCATGCTAGGCAAGTACTATATACACTTTGACCAAATGGCTGGGCACCATAACCAAATCGACATCTAAGAATTTGCTATTACAAGACCTCCTCAAAGACAGCTACAAAACATTTCTGGAAGAAACTAAAAAGGAGCCAAATAAATTAAGTGATGTATCACACTCATGAATTGGAAGACTCAGTATTATAAAGTGTCAATTCTCTTCATATTGATTTTTATGTTAAACTCAATTGGATATTCATTATTTTTAAAAAATAGATATGTCATTACTGCGCACGGACACACTTACACTCATACACACACACACACACACACACATATTACAGATGGCTCTCATACCTAAATGCAAAAGGTAAAATTACAAAGTTTCTAGAAATTAACAATGAGAGATTTTCTTTTTTACCTTGTGGTAGGCAAAGGTTTTCTAAACAGGATAAAAAGTATTAACTACAATGGAAAGATTAATAAACTGTACTTCATTAAAATTTTAAAACATTCTACTCATCTAATTACATAGAAAAGATAATTGTAGTATATATCTGGCAAAGGTCTTGTAATCAAAGGACTTGTAAAATACAAAGTACTTATACTTTATATAGACATATATAACAATTGTCAATTAATTATACAAATGCATATATATATATATATATATATATATATATATAAAACTCTTTCAAGTCACCAAAATTTTATACAATTCCATTGTTAAACATGGGCAAATGACTTAACAGGCACTTTTGAAAATAGTCAATAACCTCATGAAAAGATGCTCTCCATTACAAGTTGTCAAGACAATGCATGTTAAAATCTCATTGTCATACCACTATGCCACCTAATGGAATAACTTCTTTTAAAAAAGATACTATCAAAAGTTAGCAAGCATACGAAATATCTGGAACTAATCATAGATTGCTAATGTAAATTGGTACATTGGAAAATTGGCAGTTAATATTAAGGCTAAATATGAATATACTCTATACCCACTAAGTTTACTCCTATATATATATATATATATATATATATATATATATATATATTCAATAGAAATGTGTACACATGTGAATCAAAAACATCTAAGAGAGTGATCATACATAATTATTTATAACATAAGAGACTTGGAAATAACTGAAACATTCATTGGCAGTAAAATGACTAATAAATTATGATATATTCAAACAATGGAATAATACATAGCTGTGAAAATAAGGTAAAAATATTGTGCTCAGTACTACAGATTCATCTCATAATGTTGAGTTTAAGAAACTAGATACAAAAATTATTATTGATTGTATGTTCTATGGTACAATTTGGGTGATGGCTAGATTTTTGTCCATAAA